TAAAGTATAATTCAATCTTCCAATTAATTATTTAGGAGTTGTATTATCCTCAACCATGGTCCGTCCACCAAAAATTCAAATACGTGTAGATCAACTCAAATCACTTAATGACTTTCAAAAGTTATTAGGAGACATTAATTGGATAAGGCCTTATCTAGGCATACCAACAGGAGAGTTAAAAACCCTTATTTAATATCCTAAAAGGTCCATCAGATCCAAATTCACCCCACATGTTAACGCCTGAAGTAAGAAAGGCATTAAAAATCACTGAAACATATATGGAAAATAGGCATTTGGATAGAATTGATATAAGTTTGACTTTATTATTTATTGTACTACCAACAAAAAATATTCCTACAGGAGTATTTTGGCAAGAAGTTCCATTATTGTGGATACATTTATCTTATTCTCTTAACACTATTCTTACTAGGTATCCTGAGGCTGTAGGAAAATTAATACTCAAAGGAATAAAAGCAACAAAGGGAGTGTTTAGAATTTCTCCCAATGAAATTATTACTCCATATACTATGGATCAAATTGATGAGTTAGCTAATGAGTTAAATACTTGGGCAATAATTATGTGTAAATATAATGTTTCATTTGATAAGCACTTACCATCTAATCCTTTGTTGTCTTTTTGATCTTCGCATCCTGTAGCTTTTCCAAAAATGACAAGAAAAACACCTACCATCAATGCTCCAAATATATTCACTGATGGGTCAAATAATGGTACAGCAACAGTAGTTACCCCTGATCAAACTTTTACATTTTTAGTACCCAAACAATCAGCTCAAAAGATAGAGCTTAATGCAGTTTTACAAGCTTTTGTGATGTTTAAAGATTCTGTATTTAATTTATTTTCTAATAGTCAGTATATAGTTAATGCTATAGTATCCCTTGAAGATGCTGGTAGGATTTCCCCTTCCTCTACTGTTTTCTCTTTGTTTTCCACTATACAAAGTCTAATCTGGAACAGAAAAGATCCATTCTTTATAGGACATATCAGGGCACATACAAGATTTTTTAATTTTATTTATTTTATTTATTTTTTATTTTATTTATTCTTGCTATTATTATTTTTTACAAACAATAGATTTGCTGCAACATGCTCTGTCTCATATTATTGAATTAAAAACTTTGACACATTCCAAAATATCAAAAATACACTATAATGAATCTTAGGACTACAATACAACGATGATTGCACAAAACCATAGATATGAGAATTTAAAGACTTTTTTATGCTAACAGAATAACATAATTTAGCTACCCATTTTAAAATGATGTATGTTATTGATATTATAAAATACACTGAAAAGACTGCCTCTTTTCTGGAAGATGGATTAACATTTTTATAATTGATTTGTATAAAATTTTAATATTTTTGTCAAATTTTAGTTATTTAATTTGTAGAAAGCTTTGCTTTATACTAGCATATGGGAAATGGGATATTGATTTTAAACTATTTGAATCCAAGTGATTAGGTACATTTGCAATAAAATTCAATTGATCTATATAATTAATTAAGTTTTATCCTGCAGGCAGAAGCTACCTGTACATGCTGTTTCATACTTGCTCTTTTAAGTTGCTTTCTGGAAGCAAATATTCAACCTTGATGAGTCCTACATCTTAGACTAGTGGAAAAGATGTGAATTGGGTGTTTTAGTCAGAGTCTATTCTGGAAAACTCCTCTGAAAATTCAGTTTAAAACTGCTATGGAAACACAGATACATCCAATTCTATGACACTTTTTTTCAGGAGTTTTTAATAGACATAATATTGTACTTAGTGACTACACACACCGATGTGCACATAGGAGAAATGTGAAAAATGAACTATAATGAAAGTGAGTTCTCTAAAGCCCAGTTGAAAACTAATTATAAAACTTCCAGTGGAAATGCACTGCAATTGCCATTTCCCATTTAAAATGAGCAGCAGTACAAATGGCACATGTGCTTAAAGACTGAGAGCTTGCCCACATGGTCTGAAATAAACTCTTGGCTCATAATAGTTTATCTAGGGTTCATCAAGGTGCACACATTGATAATTAAGGTAGATCCTCAATTGAAGGTGCCTGCAAAAACTGTAACAATACCGCTCTTTCAAGTTATTCTCAGAAAGTACCAACAAAGTACTGTTGATTCCTTCATCTGACAATTTGTTTGGAAGAATATTAAGGATTTTACGTGATTTTAGTGGGAAATGAGGGTTAGTACATTGAGATCTGGTGAGATCTGGAAACAACACTTTATTAGAGGCACCAACTTCTCAGAGAGATTACTTCCAAAGACTGAGCCCTGAGCATAGCAGAGCTTTTACTTCTGTTCATAAGCTACTCTTCAGAAGGGAGATAGAAGAGGGAAGGAAAAATACTTGTAGAAAAAGGGCTGCAAATATACCAAACTTGACATAAAACATAGGCCTTTTGATTTAATGCTTCCCCTTTGTAAACTAAAATTAAACATAACCATTCCTAGACACATCACAGTCAAACTGTGAAAAGGCATAGGGAGAATCTTAGAAGCAGCTGGGAAAAACTACTTCTTTTACACAGGGGAACCTCAGTGAGTTTATCAGTTGATTTCCAATCAGAAAAAATGAAGGAGGCAGTGGGGTAGTATATTCCAAGGGAATAGTGGGTGTAGATCACCTGAAGAGTCAATGTCCAGAAAATCTGTTGTTGAATAATGAAAAAAGTAAAAATACTCCCAGATAAGGAGATCCTGTGAAAATATGCTGCCAGCATTATTGCCCTATAAGAATTTCTAAAGGAAGTATTTGGAATGGAAGAAATAGTTCATTTGTTATGGGCCAGGATATGTGCGCATTGACCAGATAAACTTCATTTTATCATGAAACTACATTTAAAAAAAAGCAATGCTTCTCCCATAAGAAAATTCCACCTCTGCCATCCTGATTTTGCTTAGCATATCCTGCTTAGAAATGCACAGCCTTGGAAAATATTTCTGTTATTCTTATATAATATAATTGTTCTCTTTTTTAGTTCTCATTTTTTTCCCAATGTACCCTGACTGTTCTGGGTCATTGCTATGGTTTTGACACATTGGTGGCTTGTGTTTTTTTGCTATAAAACTGCAGCCTATATTCTACAAGGGGTCAAAGGTTGCTATAAGGTCATCTACAAGGAGGTTACTTGCCTGTTGTCCTTCCACCTGCTGGTGAATATAGATTCCATATCTTGACCCAAGACTGACCCAGAGATCAATTTCAAACATGCCACAACACATTTTTAGATTTTAGAACACTGGGTTGATTTGTAAAATAGTGTGTGTGAGGTGGGTGGGTATATTTGTGTGTTTCTGTGTGTGTGTGTGTTGTGATGGGCAAAGCTGTGAAATAAGCAGTTGAAATAAAGGAAATAAAGGATGTAAATATTACAATGCCATTTTCAATGCTTTATTCACTCAATATACAATTTCACTCTACAGGTTATTTATTTTAATTAATTAATTAATTAATTTTTAAGTCATAGTTCAGCACAATACTTGTATTTTTTAAAATATGGTGCTGAGAATCAAACCATCTGCCTCGCATGTGCTATTCGAGCCCTCTGACACTGAGCAACAACTCCAGTGCTTCTATGGGTTTTTAATCAAGAAAATGACAATTATTAATGCTGGGCACTGCAATAGACATCATCAATTGAAAACAAACAATTCCAAGTCAATTGTAAGCACTGCAAACATACTTAACCATGACAGACTAATTACAGACATTCCTATGCTTGTTAAGCTCAAGTGTCAGATCTAAATTCTCAAGTCTTCGGCCTTAAGTCCAGCAGATGCACACTCAAACAGACTCCAGTGATCAGGTCAGGAACTGATGGAGGTTTCTCCTGGGGTGGAGCTGACAGCTGATTGAGGAGAAGGTCATAAGAAGTTGCTGTTCTCACCAGATTCAAGATGTGGCTGTAGAGTTTGAGAGTGGTGAGGACCATGCAGAAGATCAGGCAGATGATGAGAAGAGTTGCAATGTCAGTCCATGTCCTCTTCAGGCTCTCCAGCATGAGGGGAATCAGTGTTGGTTGGCTGAATGTCTGTTCATTTGCTACATCATTTATACTAAATTTTGGGGTTTCTGCTTGCCCTTTCAGTCCCTATCACCTGTTACTGGGTTTCTAAGTGACATCTTTCATTCTAAGGTCATCTGGTCTGGTTTTCTGATCTCTAACCCCTGACTCTTATCAACAGAAAGGCAAATTTCAAAGATTTCTCTCTGAGTTTTATCGGTGTTGTGGAAAGTGACTTATTTTATCACCCTATGCCCGATGACACTATTGGAAGGCTCTGTAGGTTTGCCTGGTATGGACTCCAGTTTTATTTAACATGGAGTTTTAAATTGGAGTTGCTTAGGCTAAGGCCATACTTACACTGTGTGTGTAAACATACTTTCCAAATTTCTTTTGACATTTAACATTCACTGATATTACAAGAAAAAATACTAGAAACACAAAAATATCTCTTGGGGGTTTGTTTCAATTTTTATACTTAGTCTTGTAAATTTGGAATAATAAGGTATCAATTTGTTTTTTTGTCTAAACACTCTTGATAAAGATAGTAAAATAAATTTAAAAGCTTTTATTTAAAAGTAGCATAACTAAATAAGCATAAGAGAAATTTCAATTTTATGCTGAGTTGATGCAAAGTAAGAAGATATTGTATGGAAGAGTTGGAATTTCAAAAGGAAGACATCCTGAAAATAACAATCCCTGAGAAATAAAAATTTCAGAGGTAATAAGTATTTTCAAACACTATGAAATTGATGGATCTCAGAGATTTACAAGGAAAGAGGCGATGTCTGGGCTCCAGGGGAAAAATTACTGAATAGACTAAGGGCTTCTCTGACAGAGTGAGCAGGTGGAGTTCCTAGGAAGGATCTAGAAGGCTGAGGATGGTGGAGAACATGCTTGCTGGAGGGCAGGGTAGGGGTGTGGTGCTGCCTCCACTTCTTACCCCTTCCTCAGTGACAGGATTCCTTTGTGATGAGAAGGCACAGCTATGTGACATAGGCCTGTGCCCTACTCCCATTTGCTGAAGAGAACTTTCAGGACTCATTTGTCCAAGTGACACAGTGCTATTTAGATGATGGAGAATCTTCTCTTTCCTCTATATAGTGTTAATGCCGCATGGCTGAACCCCAGCTTCACCAGCTGGGCAATAGATATGATTCTTGCCTTTGCCTGTGGACTGGAGATCTTTATTCTTTTACTGCCCTGCCTCCAGGGTAATCCATCCTTCCCACCACCAGGCAAAAAAGAAAAACTCAGGAAGGTAAGATATCCTTAGGTCACATCCAACAACAACAAAAAATATTCTCCTTTCTTCCCACTTTTCCAAAATATGTAGACACACTTCACAAAAGAGAAATTTCAGGGCAGAATAGAGAATTATTCTGAGGTACACAGGGCAGGGCAAGGGAGAGTGCACACTAATATTTCTCCTATCTGAAAGTCTCAGACTACATAGAGAGGTCTGGTCTCATAGAGAGATCTGAGAGTGCTGGGAACTTCTGGAGAAGGATAGGCCCGAGGACTCTTCTGTCACCTTCTCCTGGTAAGTGTCTCTGGAACAAGGCTTTCCTCTGTATTGGGCTGATGTAGGTCTGAGGGCCTCCATCATAGGCTGTCAAGTCACCTCTGGCCTTAGGAAGCAGAACTTTGCCTGGCACCTGAGAAGAGCCTGTGTAAATGATTCCTTCTTAAGCAGAGGATCAATAACTGAGGACATTCATGGTTTTGTTTATTTAGAAAATCCCCTTTTGTGTTTTCCAAAGAAAAAATGAAGTATTTTTCCATTTTATAAATGTTCTCTGAATAAAAGGGTTTCCACTAGCTAATTGTAGAAGTCATACTGTTCAGAAACATGGACTATCTACAGCTGATCTAGAAGAGAACAGGGATAAGTGAGCCTCAGCCTCTTTTTCTATATTGTCTGTCAGCATGTGAAGGTGAAGAAGGTGCTGTACAAAAGCAGGAAGAAGAGGGGAACTCCTAAAGGTAAGGCCCTGTCCTTTTATCCCAGAGGTGTTGTGTAGTCCCCTTTCTCCATGAGTCCGGAGCCATGCCCCAGAGGATGTTGGTTGCAGAGACCTGAGAGGGAGGATGCTGGGAAGGAAATCATCATACCAAAGACACTTCTCATGTTTTGTGCTCAGAAGGTGTGGTGGGCCAGGGGTGAGTGATGTCCAGTAGTGGTTTGTGAGCAGCAGTTGAGCAGTAGTGCCTAGATATGGAGGTGGGACTTTCAAGTCAACCTGTGGTCAATCTGTTTCATTCTGTTAAGGTCAATTTCTCTTTGAGATAACCAATTCTTTCCTCCCCATAATATGTTTGTGACGATCATGGAGGTTAGTGGAGGTAAAAAACACCCTGCAAATGATAAAATGTGTCTCTTCCCAGAGTCTTTATATGACACTCACTGGTCATTTGGACTTGGACACTGAGGCTTAGCCTCCAGTCTCATCTCCCATGATCTCCCCCAAGGGGACATTGCCCTTAACATCCTGTAAAATCTGGGAACCTCCCTTCTCTACCACAATTTATTTTCCATTTCAGCTTTGGGCAATCACCTGAAGAATCTGAAGGAGATGCAGAATCTGATTTTACTTCTGCAAAGGTGAGGAACTTTTCAGTTCTCTAGTGTTTTTTTTTTTTCCATCAGTATCTGAATGTGATCCTGAGGCTCAAGGCTGACTTAGTAGGAATACTTCAGGTTGGAGTGGAATGTCACTGAAGCCCTAGTGGTAGGAATAGGAAGAGTTTGGTGAATCCAGTGTGTGGGGCAGTGGAGGGTTCATAGGCCATAGGTTTTCACCCCTGCCCAGCCTCTTGGTCCTTCCTGTTCCTGGCTCTAGCTTTTGCCTCTTGTCTCCTGTAGTCTCTTAGGGAAGCTCTGGAACAAGGACAGTTCACCTCAACTGCTACGTGAACAAGCTGAAGGTGAGGTGTTCATGCAAGAGCTTGCTGGTGTTCAAGGGCTAGCTTGTCAACATTTGAAAAGTCCTTCTACCATCATACCCCCGTCAGCTTCTCTAGCTCCTCTGACCAAACACACTCTGCCTCTGGCCTCATCCTTATCAGAAGAACATGAAGACTATTCTGCCTTGAAGAGAATCTCACTGGACATTGTTCCACAGAGCTCCCTTTTAGGTCACTCATACTGGGCATCTCTGATCACAGCCATCTCAGGCCTAGACTGCGTAAGCTATTCAATTTTGTACCTCTCCTGGTGGTGGGTAACTGCCAAGATCTTATTTTTCACTACCTGGGTACATGGCAAATCCAAGCAAGAACATTTTTTCCACCATCCATCAGACCTCACACTCTGGGTAGTCCCCACACATTGGCAGGTAGAGTCTGGAGGCCTCTCTAACATCAAATCTGATGTACAGATGCTGCTGGAAACGTTAATCACCAAAAGAGTAGAACTAAAAGTGTGGAAGGAAAATTCTAAAAATGGGTCCTCTTTCAAACAAATGAGTCCAGATTACACCGTGTATTCTCTGAGAAACATGTTGGAGTCACTGGGTAGCAAGAGAGACACCATTGCACAAACCTTCTGGAACACAAAAGAAAAACCAGAGAAGCTTCATGATTCTCTGAATTTTTTTTTATAACAAGGTCTTGTGGGGGACATTACACAAAAAATACAGAGAACTATTCTAGGGCCTGCTGCCTCTGCATAGTAAGTCCCTGAATCCCATTCTTGCACCCTCACCTTCAGAGGTACAGAGAACCTGGCAAGGACCCCTACTTGATGGCAGTCATATGACCTCAGAGGCCTACATGCCTTCTCATACCTATAGCCATCTGGACATGAACCAACAGAATAGAGTTATTAGGAGTATTGAAACCGCTTGCCTTGAGCCCAGTCCAAGCCTGGATATGGCCAGGATTGAGACACAGAAAGAGAGAAAGGATATGGCCTCAGGAGACCCATGTCATTTTGTGACAATACCGGAAATTAAATTAGGGACCCAATCATCAAAAGCTGTAAAGACAAAGGAGACAGAGATGGAGAAGAAGAATTACACTTTGAAGAAATAAAAGTCCTGATAATAAAGATATTGTTATACAAAAATTACTACTACTGGAGACTTTCCCTTAATAAATGCATGAGTAAAGATTTAGGTGGAAATGGAATCCAATTGTGTAAAATAATTACACATAAAATTATGTTCCTCAAATGTGAACCAATAAGCTTAAAAGGTGCCATTAACTTATGCAAATTCTTATATTCTTTAACAAAAAATTTTGTATATATATCCGTAAACAAAATAATACTATATATACATATATATA